ATATACATACATATAAAGATAGATTAGTGTTATAAATATTATTAATAAACAAACAAATAATAGAAATCTATTAGATATACTTGGAATAGAAAAGAGCTATTGATCGTGTTTGAACATTTTGGATCTGAGTTAAAAGAAACTAGTATAAAAAATAAAAAATAAAAAAAAATTATCATGATAACTTATTCTAGCTTGTGTTATATATATATTAATATTCAAAATATTTGCTTATTATAATTAATTTTTATATTTAATAAGCTTCTATATTGAACAAAGATATAAAAAAAAAAAAAATAGATTTGTAACTTTTAGACTACAGATAAAAAATGACTAATTCAATAATCATTTTTATATTTGGTAATATTAATAAATTCTCAATTGTCTATTTCATAAAATAAACTGTCTTACTAGTCAATTAAACACTTTCTTTATATAGTAAAGGTTATAAGCAAACCTGGCTGCAAAAAATACATAGTTAACCTTTGGCTAAAAAATATGAAAATAATATTATATTACAAATTTCTTGTTTGTTTAACTAAGTATTCGTAAAAATTCTTAAGCAAAAAGTACAAAAAAAAAAGAAAAAAATAGGCGACTCTTAGATTACAAGTGAAAGAAAATTAACCATTATTACGATTATTTATCTATTTATTAAGATCAAAACAATTGTGATTACATATATATGTATTACTAATATTAGAATTAAATTAACAATATGTTCGTACTATAGTACTATATATAACTATAGTAATATCGATACAACTATGATGATCACTATATATGTATATATACATATAGAGTAATTTAAAAAATATTTTTTTAAAAAATATATAATTTTTAATAAAAGTAACTTAAAGCATTATATTAAAATTTTTAAGTTTATTTAACAACTCTTTCTACTAATCATCAAAACACAAAATTCTAAAAAACAAAATCAACAAAAAACTACAAAAAATATACAAAAGCTACTAGAAAACCAACCTTAGAGCTTTAAGAAAAGAGAAAAAGATCTACAAGAAACATTTAGTCTTTTAAGAAATTTAAATAGAAAAAGCAGAAGTGACAAAAAAATAAAAGAAGTCGTGAAAAATCATTAATATTTTTTTGCTTTTTGTAAAATTTTGTAAAATTAGCCTTGATTCTGAATTCAGATCTGTTTTGGTAATACAAGAATCACAACACATAATAAAGAATAAAAACATGACAAAAACTATATAACAAAAATAAACAAAGACAATAAACAATCACACAAGCAACAACAACAATAACTATAAATCAACAAGTCACATAAAACAAATATTAACAAAATATCTTGAAAAGAAAATAAATATATCTAAAAGTATAAAAGCAGTATTAAAAGATATCCAAGATTTAACAATAGCAATAACTGACAAGATAATAAATACACAAGTTAAAGAAATAATAACTGAATATGCTAGGCAGAAATTAATCTCAAAAGAGATAGCCAAGATACAAATAGAGGATCTTTATATAGAATTATAGTGGTATAACAGAAGTGAACTAGAGTATACTTATAGAAAGAAACCAAAAGACTTTTTATAAAGCAATACAAAAAGAAGAAGATCTAGTTAACTGTATTATAATAGAAGAAATAGTTAGTATTATGGTAGAAATAAGAATAGATGATAGGATAAGAAAGATACTAAGATTGACAGGGTGTAGAATTGATTTTCTGAACACATGATCTACAAACTGATTTGATGTATATATACCATTACACAAATATGATATTAGGCAATAAATTAATTTATTTATAATAATGCCAATAATACTTTTTTTTTTACATTTGTATTATTTACAAAATAATGAATATAACGCTAATATTTTTTTTTACATTTTTATTTATATATTTATTTAAATTTTATATTTTACTTTTTTATTATTGCAAAAATAAGGTCCAAGGCTTCGACCCTTGCCAAGTAGAATCACACAGATGCCTATTTTTTGCGGTTTCTATATTGTTAATAACTGTATAAGCATGACCTAAGTTATTAACAACAGATTCAACATGCCATAAATTGTTTGTAGCCATTTCTATATTTAAATATTTAACTAAACAGTTTAAAGCAGCAATTTTAGTTTCTAATTCTTGACACCTGTTTCTATCTTTGATATCTTCTATAGCACAATTTTTAATATCAGTTTGATGTAGTATTAGATCAGAGAATATTATAGGTATGTCTTGTGCTTCACTTCTATTCTAAATTAAAAATAGATAATCTGTTCATTGTTTAAAATTAGAAAAAATTAACTGAATATCTTGTGATTCTGATTCTTTCTCTTTTTCAGACGCCATGTAAATCAAATGCTTACAAACAAGAAAGTGGTTATGAAAAAAATATGGGCAGCTACATATCCAATATTTTAAATTAGTAAAGTAGTATTCTTTAATTCTCTCATCAATTAGTTTTTTATTAGGGCTTTTCCATATCTTTTTAAATTTTTCAAATCATGACGGAAGTGCTCTACCAAGTAGAATTTGTTGAAGACAAATAATTTGGTCAGATATTATGCAGGTACAAATAACCCAAATAAGATAATCAAGTTGTAGACAGTTATATTGATAAAGATAAGTATGCTTTAGAACTTTCCAATGTGCTTTGATCATCATATTTGTTTTACCAAGTGGTATGGTTTCTTCTATAGAACAGGCCCAAAGATACCAATGCAAAGGTTTATACCAAGCATACTACAAATAAGCCCAAAGCAATACTAGATCATTATTGTTGCAGAATTTATATATTTCTTGAACTGCTATACTTCTTATTTCAGCAGGTGATAGAAACAGACTATTTGAATTAATCAGAATCTTGGGGTGCATATTGAAGTGTTTTCTCACAAGATCAATTATATTTCTTTGAAGGTTAGATGAACAAACAATGTAGTACTCTTTATCTTTACATTGTAAGTCAGGTCTAAAAGAAAGTCAACAAAAAGAAACTCTTTTGATACTTCTTCAAATTGATAGTTAGTTTGTTTAGGTTTTTTCTTACTTATAATTTTTTTTTGATTGCTTTCTCAATATACCAAATACAAAGCTGAATATTACTTGCTGGCCATATATTTTTTGCTGCATTTATTTTGGCAAAGTCCTTGTCAGTATAAAAATAGATTAAATACAAACCTTTATTATAAAGAGCATGAAAAAACCTCTCAAAAGACTCAGTTTGTAGCTTTTCATGAGTTTCATCATTTGTCTTTGTTGTATCAAAGATAAGATAGGCTAGAGAAAAACTGATACCTTCTACATTTCTAACCAGTCCATAAAGTTCAAAATGTTCCTTGGCAGTTTTGTAGGTGTCATCATAATACACCTCTGTTACATTATGCAATAAGCTAAATATAGGAGTTGTAAAGCTAATTGCTATCACATTTGTATTTTTTAATCTAAAACACAAATCAAAATTATTCTTTTTTTGCTAATAAGTGTACATGCAAAAATAACATGATCTTCATCTCATTTATATAATTTTTGAGAGAAGTATGATTACCAGTAATGGATTTGCTTCAAAGTAATCTTAGACATATCGAATTTCTTGCGAAGGTATGTTCGGAGGTGTACAGGATCCATGTTTAAGTTATCCATAATTTCTTGTTTAATTTCTGGCAGTGTTATAATATCAACAGATTTATCGTGGATTAATTTATGCTTTAACACCACTTTAGTCTCTTTAGCTGGGATATTAATCTTGATATTTAATTTACCATCGCAACTAAAATGATTAATTCTTTTTTGATTCAAGTTCTTGTATTCATATTTGAACTTATCACTTTAAGAACATGCAAAATATGCATTACCAACACCTTGAAACTGAGTTGAAAGATTTGGTGCAGTCGTGGCTTTGCAATTCACATATAAAATTAGTAAAAAGCTATATTTTTTAGTTAAAATATTATATTTACTTATGTCTATTTAAAATTATCTCCTTCTTCAATTTTATTAATAATTAGTTTAGCTATTACCCTAATGTTTGTTCTAACGGCACATAGCGTAGCCTCATCAAGCTTAATATGAAATATAGAAGAAAATATTGTACCATTTTCTAAACTAGCAATCGAATCTTCAATATGTTTACTAATTTCTTTAATAGAAATTATTTCAACAAGAGTCTCCTCACTATTAATATTATCAATTGACATATTTTTATTCATATTTTTCTTTTCAGATTTGGCTTTACACATGGTGCATATTTTATATGTCTTGTTATTATATACAAATGCTTTGAAAGAAAAGGTATGATAGCAAGAGGTGCAATTATTCATTTTGGTGTTTAATATAATCGAATTAATTGAATGTGATTTAACTATGCTAAATTTTTTTTTTTGAAATATATTTAGAATTTTAAAGCTTTGTAATTTCTTTGGTTAGATAATTTGGTTCGTTTAGATAATTAAAAATTAGTTTAATTGGCAGAATTCAGTAAGATTAATGAAAAAAAAATATATATTTAAGGTAGTTTAGGATTAATACAAGATGATTATAATAGTTAATATGCGAATAATATTTATGGATTTATTTTAATGATGTATTGAGGTTCGAAACAAAAATTTTAATAAACATGCAGTAAATTTTTAATGGCAAAATGATTTTAGTATTTAATTAACAGAAATCAAATTTCGTTAGACTTTATTAAGTCAAAACAAGGCTTTAAATATATTTTTTCTAATTTATAATAACTAATCCTCTT